AAATATACAAATTCCATCGCAAAACCAACTTTCAGATGTTTGCTCCAGTGGAATGGTTGACCTAGTCCAGAATCAATCCAGTAGCAGTATGGAACATGGCCATTTGTCTTCTGTGAATGATGCAGATGTGCATGCAGAACAAGAACATGATGCTCAGGACACAATGAACCAAAGCATGGATATCATCATATCAAAGAAACGCAAACTTATGGCGCCCCCATGGCATGAAGAAGCCACACATGTGTCCAAGCGGCACCAAACATTGAGGTCATTATCTTCCTTTCCTCTGTTTCTTGTTTTTTCCCCCTTCTCGGTCTATTAACTGCAAGATATCTCCTTCGACTGCAGTGACGCTGGACAAGAATGGGCCCAAGTTACGAATCGGTTGTTTGAGAAGGTTTGTTCTTTTCTTTTTCAGAAAGACTATTTATATAATCCAGCAGTCATTAAAATGTTACTATATATGATTATACTTATATTTCATCCAATTTTCCTTTTTGGTTTTCTTGTAGGGAGAATATGAGATTTGGAAAGTTGAATCTATCCAACGGTTGCCTCAATCAAAGAGAAGGCTGGTACAGACTGTGCAGTTTATGCAACAGCTTTTTTGCCCTGCACCTGCGTTCATTCTCTTGTCAGATGTAGCATCAAGCTATGCTAGTGTGTTATACTTTGTTGCTAGAGCAACATTAGGCGATGCATGCAGCATTACCCACAAGGGACAAGATGCTTTGCCATCATCTTCGATTGAGGTTAATGAGTGAGTATAATACTGGTAAACAAATCGCATTCCATAGCTAGATATGTATATGATGGTCCTTAAATGTCCTTTTTTCCTCCTTGGATTATATAGGTTATTCGAAAAGATCAAAACAAATGAGAGAAGAAGGGACAGGCAGTATGCTGAAGTTGCTAGAGAGTTAACAGAGAAGATAAAGAAGGTGGAAGGTGACTTGGAAAGGTAATGAACTACTTTTCTGCATCTCCTTAGTTACGGGCTGCATTCATCATGTT